AGCCGGGCTCGGTGGCTCAGCCTGTAATCCCGCGCCTTTGGGAGGCTGAGGTGAGTGGAAAGCCAAGTTCTCTTATACTTAGAGGAACCACATTCCTTCGCGCGATTTTCTGGAGATCCCAGGCAGAACTCTGGAACCTCAGATCTGAAGGTGAAGATTCCATCCTGTGAGAGCTCTATGCCTCAGCCGAGACTCGGATGATTCCCAAGAAGGGTCGCCCTTTGTCTGGAGTTCAGCCCTTTGAGCTAGGAAAGGCGCAGAGGTAGGATTTGAGTGGGGGATGTGAGAGAGAGACGTCTGCAGGGTGAAGGCGGGTCCCACCCACAAAGGACACACTCGGAGGACCATACCGAGGAAACGGCCTTGTTACACAGCACCAAGTCCTCACTTAGGGGGCTGGTCTCCTTCCCTTCTCATGTGGGACCCTCCTCCCACCCCATCCCTAGACAGGCCTTTGGGGGCAAGAAGAGTTAAAGCAATGCCCCCACCCGGGACTTGGTGACACACAGGACAGACTCAGTTCCTGGCTCAGTGACCTCTGACGTCTCTGGAGAAGTCAGAGGGCCCATACAGCCCAGGCCCGAACAGCAGCAGCCCAGGGGCTGGGCAAGGTCCAGGTGGCTTCTGTGAAGTGGACACTTCCTCTTCGGTGCGCCACCCCTGCCGGCTGGCCTGCCTCGCCCACGGGCCTGCACCTGGACGAGGGACATTCCCCATGGAGGCAGTGTGCTGGACTCCTTCGCCCACGTCATCAGGACTCCCTTGGAAGCTGGAGCTGAGTCCTTGGAGATCATCTGGCCTGGGCACTCGGGTTTCAGAAGCAGAGTGAGCCCTGCCCACGGCCCTTCACAGGCTTGTCTGGTAGTTCTGAGGTGGGGTCTGGGCATGTGTGTTTTAAACAGTCTCCCCAAGTGGCTCTGATGCACATAAGTCTAGGGTCCCACCCGCCTTTCTCAGAGGGTAGCAGAGCTGGCATTCGACTCTAACATTCCGCGAGAATATGGCCACGCTGGTTGTTAAAATGATGAAACAAGTTTGCATTGAATCGGGGATGGTCTGAGTTCCCCGGGGCCTCCTTCTGTGCTCTGGCCCTTCCCTCCGGGTCGTCCCCATCACTCACCATGCAGCACCTAAAGGGCTCAGGCCAGGCACCGCTGAGACCGCCAGCCATTAAGCTTTCCTTCATTCTGATTGGCTAGAGTATGCAGGCCACCCTGGCGGTCCAATGTCTTAATATTATCTTATAGTGCAGAGTAGGGCCCAGAGAGGTCACTCAGAGGCCGAGAGCACTCCCAGCAGGCCTAGCACTCTTCCCAGCCCCATCCTGGCCACCAGCCAGTCCATGACAGCCACCTCTGCCTGACCCTGGCTTAGGAATGGGGTTGACTGGAAAGAGGGCAGTTTTGTGCTCCCGGGTCTGCCTGTCTCAGCAGACACTGTCACAGATAACACCTGGGAGTCCCCAGCCCTCTGGCATTGGTTTGGCAGGTTGGGAGTCATCTGTTTCCATAGGAGGAGCAAGCA